TAGTTTGTGTATTTTTTGTGTGTAATTTTTTTAAGTGTGTGTATATTTTTGTGCATAGTTTTGTGTAGTTCGTGTATAGTTTTGTGTGTAGTTTTTTCAATTTGTGTATTTTTTGTGTGTAGTTTTGTGTGGTTTGTGTATATTTTTGTGTAGTTTTAGTAGTTTGTGTATATTTTTGTGTGTAGTTTTGTGTAGTTTGTGTATATTTTGTGTAGTTTTTGTAGTTCATATAAATTTTGTGTGTAGTTTTTTGTAGTTTGTGTATATTTTTGTGTAGTTTTCTGTAGTTCATGTATATTTTTGTGTGTAGTTTTGGGTAGTCTGTGTATATTTTGTGTGTAGTTTTGTGTATTTTGTGTATATTTTTGTGTGTAGTTTTGGGTAGTCTGTGTATATTTTGTGTGTAGTTTTGGGTAGTTTGTGTATGTTTTTGTGTGTATTTTTGTGTAGTTCGTGTATATTTTTGTGTGTTGTTTGTGTACTTTTGAGTAGTTTGTGTATATTTTTGTGTGTGGTCTTGTGTAGTTATGTGTAGTTTGTGCGTAGTTTGTCAGTGACTGAACTACAGACCACAAACAGGAGGCTACGGTTTGTCACACAGCAGGTTTCTTCAGATTTATCCGTCATCAGAAACGAGTGAATCTGCTGTGAAGCTACAACAGAGTGTTCCAAACGCTGACCTCCATTCCCAAACTTCCCACTGATTCCTCCTGAGCGGAGACATTTTCCTCGTCAGCGTCAGCATGCGAGTAGGAACCCCAAAGCAGCGAGCGACTCTATACACAGATCTCGATGGGCGTGGTCACCAGGATGCGTCCCCTTTCATTGTTGTCCCTGTTGACTCGCTCATAGCCACCAGAAGAGGCTGGTGAGCTGTTACCAGAGGAGAAATGGGTGTCCATCACAAACCCGCCCTTCACTGCAGTGCAAGCAGGTGATAGGCTCTGTTGCTTCAGCCTGTCCACCAACGCGTCCTCCTCAGATGAAGAGGAGCTGATGTTCAGAGGCAGCGGTCCACCGACTAGAGCTCCACCGCTGCTGTTCCCGTTCTCTGTGTCCAACATCCAGCTCTGGTTGAAGTAGCTGAAGACCTGTTTGACTGAGCAGCGACGCTGCTGCTCGATAGACAAGAGTCGGCGGAACATCCGGAGAGCCTCATCAGTAAAGCGGCGCCACTGCGACGGCACTGTGGTGGTCCGACGACGCTGCCAACAAACAAACTCCTCGTAGAAGGAGTCGTTGGGCATGGCCTTCTCCCAGGGGAAGTTCCCAGTCATCATGCAGAACAGCAGCACGCCGAACGCCCACACGTCGGTGCTGTAGTCCACGCAGAAGCCCTCGTGCCTCGATGTGTCACACAGCTCGGGCGCCGTGTACGGGATAGTGCCGCTTACGCGTTTTACTGGAGATCCAGCATGCCGAGTCATGCCGAAGTCTGACAACTTGACCTTTCTGCACTCAGTGTCAAAGATCAGGACATTCTCAGGCTTGATGTCTCTGTGCACCAGCTTCTTACAGTGCAGGTAGTCCAGAGCGATGGCCACCTGGTGGACACAGCGCTTTGCCACCGTCTCTGGAAGTCCCACCTGAAGAAAGACAGAAGGATGTCAGGGAACACAGAAATCAGGACTGAGACACAACTACAGTTCAAAAGAGGCTACAGGGTTATTCATTGGTGTCCTCAACAGCCTCTCTTCAGATTAACTCATTCACTGCCAACCGTTTCCTGATCGCTAAAGCCAGTCGCTGCCAGCGTTTCTCGCAGTTTTTACTGTTTTTTTAAGAGTCACAGAACATTGCGCACTAGGATGATGTCAACGCTAAAACAACCAAAACAAAGTGGAGACTCACCTCTTACATCAGGAAGAATCTGCGCATTTCGAGCGTTATCCGTTCTTTCATATTCCGTTGTTGAATTGTGATCGGCAGAAGCTTTTCCGGTTCGCGCCTCTCTTTTTTTTACAGCAGCGGCCCAAAAAGATCTCCTAACACATGGATGTTCTGCTTCCTGATCACGTGACGTGTGTCGTATGCGGATGAAGATCGGCTTTGGAGCTGAGATGTTTGTTCTCTCGGTGCGGGGGCTCGTCCGACGCCCACACAGTAAAAACATGCAAATGACGATTTTAGTCGTCACTGGCAGTGAATGAGTTAATAGTTATGGCTAGCCTGAATGAAGCCCAAAGTGTGTTGCTGCCATCCTCAAGTTCAGCGCATGTGGTCCGGATTCCGTATGGCTTCTGCATCGTTCAACAATCATTGAGTCCAATCAGAGCATTTACACTGGCTGTGGTGCAGGAAGTACGGAGGCAGAGCTCTGAAAGCTTCTGCATGGAGTCTATTTTTCCGGATGCTGCATGCAGATTGAACTTAAAGAAATTACTGAACCAGACAGGAAGTGAGACATGGGGCAGCAGTAGCTCAGGATGTAGAGCAGGTTGCCTCATGATCGAAGGGTCATGGGCCCAACTCCAGCTCCCGCCAGGGGTATTCTGCTGTTGTGTCCTTGGGCAAGACACTTCAGCCAACTTGCCTGTGTTGGTGGTGGTCAGAGGGGCCAACGGCGCCAAATGGCAGCCTCGCCTCTGTCAGACCTCCCCAGGGCGGCTGTGGCTACAAAGTAGCTTACCATCACTAGCAGTGTGTGAATGTGAGAGTGTGTGAAAGCGTCTTTGAGTGTCCTAAAAAGCGCTATATGAGTTTGATTTATTATATTTATTATTATTATTATTTATTATGGAACAGCAAGGTACATCTGGGTAATTTCAAAGTAAAACTTGTGTTGCGTTATTTTTGTCAGCTTTTGTTTTATTAATGACGGGAAAATCAAGTCTGTTAGTTTGGTCTGGTGGGAGTACATTTCCAGAGACATTCAGCATGCGAACTGCAGTCGATGGGAATGGCAGTCCGTAGGAATGCCGTACAGAAACCGGGCCGCGTCTGTCCAGCACTCAGTGTGAACAGGGATAATACAGCGTCCTACAGTTCATGTCGTGATATTGGCCGAGCCTTTATTCTGCCGTCTACTTTCACATGAATGGTTATTTCAGCTGGAATGCCAGAACTTCCTGCTGAACTCGACCCCTGGATGAGGAGCTACACTTAGCTGCTAATAGCATTTGTTTGTAAAGAACAGAATTCGATGTAAACAAATAAACGTTCCTCACATGTCTGTAAAAGTCAGACCTGACCTGTGGAGGGATGATGTCAAACAGATCTCCAGCCGGAGCGTACTCCTGGGCAAAGATGTAACAGTCGTCTGTCTCAAAGGCAATGCCGTACATGTTGATGATGAAGGGGCAGGGCGACAGGTAGAGCGAGACGCTGTACTCCCTCAGGAAGCTCTTCAGCTTGGTCGTCTTCTTCCTCAGGAACTTCAGCGCCATCTTTGTGCCTGAAATAAGGGCAGGACAGTTACGTAACGTGGTTTCCCCCACTCCATTAATGGGTTAGGGGATTTATGTCACCACTGCTTAATTACTTCCTAGAAACTCAATTAAAGCCGTTTGATGAATAATTAAAATTGTCCATGCAGACATAAATCCTGATGTTGATTTGCTGGAGTTTCACACGAGGAGTGTTTAAAATCCTCTCCTCTGGACAGAAATGTGCCAGTCTGCTCTCATGTTGGGGACAATGCTGTGAGGAGACATTCACAGCCGTCCTCCAGCAGGACGAATAAGGTCAGAAAAACATCAACACGGAGTCACAGATGCAGAAAGACGGAAGTCAGCCTCATCGATCCTCCTGGTCTCTCCTCAGATGATGAGAGAAAAACCTCGGATGATAATCTGGAGAAGCCCAGCGTCTGCCTCTAGTTTGCTTCTCTGACAGCTCACAGGTCATCAGGGACGGCTCCATTACCTCTGATCAGCTCTGCAGAGCTGTTCCAGGGTTTCACACTCGCCAGGAAAGATGGGCGTTTGGTTCTTCTTACAGCCGCTGTGACAGGCGCTTCGGGGGCTCCAATAATTACACACTAACGCATCGTTTTAAGGCTTGGCAGGATTCAGGTGAGGCTGCGTTTTACACAAGTACATGTTGTTACTCCTGAGACCAGTTTGTTATGAAGATTTGAATCTATTAAAGCACACAAATAAGCTAAACTACCTGCTATAAAAGAGCATTTTTCACAGCCAGTCGTATTAAGTCCGTGTATTTGCCTGCATGTGTGTGTTTAATGGGGCAATTACAGATTTTAATGAAACTCCCAGGAAACAAACGCGCCAAAACTGAGATGTTTTTGTTTTAAACTAAATATAAAGCTGGCAGGAAAATTCTGAATGCTGTAAAAAGGAAGCAGCTTACCAAAATAAAAGCTGGTTAATGAGATTCCCTTTCTAAGACATCCCTCTCAGATCGGGTCTGTTTAATCGTGAACCCAACAGACTCCCATCCAACCATCAAACGGACTCCCACACCTTCTACAGGAGGCCTCTTTACTGTACTGCAGCCTGAATTAGCATCTCAGCTAATTATTTATTTAAAAACTGTCACATTTATACTTAAACCATCATTTCAAGCTAAACTTGGTAAAATATGATATTTGAAAGTATTTCTTCAGCAGGTACTTTGAAATAAACAAAGTTTTCTCTGAGGTTTGAACTATAACTCGATCACACTCAGATTCAGATGATCATAGCTAAAATCTCTGGCTGGCGAGAGTTAAGAATTCCTTCAAGACCATTTTAAATGAGGCCATAAATGCAAAGTGAAAGTTTGTTTGAATAAATGTAAAACTGAGGGTTACAAACAAATTAAATGCTTCAGTGGGGCAGCAGCAGCTCAGGAGGTTGAGCGGGTTGTCCAGTAATCGGAAAGTTGCAGGCATGGACGTAATTGGGGGGAGAGGGGGAACATCCCCCCCCACCCCCACCCCCACCCACTTTGTCCAAAGTCAAGGTTTGACCCCTGCACTTTTTACCATCCAAAAACAATATTACGCTATATTAAATTGACACTGGTTGAGCTCTAGGGCCAAGCAGAAAACAACCATTTGTGTTGAAGCCCGTTTCCCATTAGAGCATACTGTAAAGATACCCACCCCCACCCCACCCCACCCCCGTGTCCCCCCCACTTCTAAAGTGAAAATTACGTCCATGGTTGCAGGTTCGATCCCGGCTCCAGACAGAGAATTCTGCAGTTGTGTCCTTGGGCAAGAGGGCAAAGTGCTCAGAGGGACCGGTGGCGCCCGTGCTCGGCAGCCTCGCCTCTGTCAGTGTGCCCCAGGGCAGCTGTGGCTACATCGTAGCTCATTACCATCAGTGTGTGAATGGGTGAATGATACACTGTAGTGTAAAGCCCTTTGGAGTCTTACTCTGAGAGGCTCTATACATGCGGGTCATTTATCATTATTTTAAAAAATGACTACCGTAGTTTGCTAAATTAATTAAGAGAAACTTTTCAAGGCTGGTTTTGATTCAACAAAACAGGAAAATCTCAGGTTATCTAACACGGGGCATCAAAATGCAGCTTTTCAGAATAAAAGCCCTTTTGTAGAAAAACAACTCAAAGGCCAGCAGATCCGACGCTGTCGGCCCATTGATTCCTACAGTTTGTTTTCTCCTTTGACTCTGGGGAAAAGCTGATTGCCTCTGATGGCTCAGAGATGATGATGGAACACAAAACTTCTCCGTGACTCCTTCTGATCCTTCTGCAGCTGGAAAAGGTCAGTTTTGACCTTCACAGCAGAAACAAGCAGCAGAATGATGCAGCTTTGCTCCAGAAACAAGAGAATCAGACGGCGACTCTGGGGCTCGCTACAGTAAATGGCTGTTTTTGTTGCCTCCAGAAAGCTTCTCTCTTTTAACAGTTTGAAGTAATTTTTCAGAAAATTTTTCAGAATCAAAGATTAGGTTTTCCCTCCGCAGATGAAGTGAAAACCATTATGCTTGAGCAGGGGCGCCGTAAAGGCCCACGGCTGTCAGGGGCCCAAAAAAGTTTCAAAGCTGAATAAAAAAAATAAAGTTTAAAAATCACAAGTACTTTACTTTGCAGTATTTTTCTCATTTAAGACATTAAACATACAATCTTTTAGTCTTTATGAAATGTATTTATTCAGCGGTCCCTACTTTATTTTGACTAATTAATGTTTTACAAGATGCAATTTATGTTTATGCAGCTTTTAGAACACAAACCAAAAATCAGTTGTTTCCAAATAATTCACCAGAGAGCAAAACTGAAACAAAAGCTATTAATAATTGTAGTAAATAAACTTAATATAACATTGAACACAATAAAATATGAAATCTAGTATTGATCATTATCGAGCATTATTAATTACATCACTGTAAATAATAAATCTTGCTGTGTACAATCAAGGCTGAATGTATTTTTAGCTGTTTTTTTGTTGTTGAGAAAAATGGGTTTCTAGAGACTTTTATACGTATTCATGCAAAGTTATCCAACTTTAAAATTGTATGTAACCCTAACTGACTCCGGTTTGAACTGTGTGCTTATTCATTTAGTGTCTGAAGCCGTGGAGACTTAATAAAGACGTCACCTTGTGAGCAGTGAATCCTTAATTTTTGTCAGTCATACAGAAATACTTGATTTCAAGCTGAAAATGAAGTTACGTAAAGCTTTGACACAACATGGAAATTTAATTAGATATCCAAATTTGAATTTTATCATCAAATAAAATTTTAGAATAAATAAACACATTTTAAGGGAGTAAAAGGGAAAAGGAGATTAACACCTTTCAGCATTTCCTGCTTTTTCCAGCAGTGATATTGCTAATTCTGTTGAAGGAAATTCACTGTTTAATGAGAGACAGCTGGTGAAAATGATATGTAAATAAGTAAGAATGCATGTAGACCTACATAATTAAGCAAAACTGAAACACTAATATGAAGTATATATATTATATTTTTCTCCCTTCGAATCTGGGAGGGTGGAACCCCAGCTCCAGCTATGGACGAGCCCCCAGGGGGCCCAACTTGATATTTCTTCATGGGGCCCAAAATCTCTGGCAGCCCCCCTGTGCTTGAGTCTCACGTGCTGCAGCTAAATCCTCCCCACACGTCTCTAAAAAGCAAAACATAATCACTTTTTCTGCTTCTGCTGCTCAGCAGATTCTCTCCTGCTTAGGAAGAGCCAGAGAAATCAGCTCCATCGGCACCAAGACTGGATGTAGGCATGTTTTTTATTTTTAATGGACCCAATGGAAGTCTTATTTAACAAAACTGATGAAATGTTTGTGTTTGTAAAGGCTGACCGGAGCTGTGTGAAGGTCCCTCTCTGCTGACACTGAAGTCTCAGCTGTTACCTCTGATTTTGTGGATGACCAGGTCCACCTTCCCGTAGGTTCCCTTTCCCAGCTCACGGACCACTTCGTAGTATTTGTTGATGTCCAGCTTTTCCAGGTTTTGTGCAGCGATCAGCTGTAGTTCCTCCAGGATGTCCACGGAGGAGCCGTGCGCCGACGAGCTCATTGTGCTGGAGGTTTGAGATGGGTCAGGGTGAGTGGAGGGGTGGGGTGGGGCCCAGAGACGAATGTTCCTGTGGAAAAGGAGGAGCAGGAAGGAAAGGGAAGCTCACTGTGAGGAACACCAACATCTCTTCTGTTACACAGCCTCTGATGCTCGGAGACTCCGACTTCAGCTCTACAGGAATAAATAAACACTCAGGGCAGGTCACGTTTAAACGTGCTTACAATGATTTAAAATGATTTTCTTAGCTGTTGGAACAAGAATAAAGAATAAAAGCAAAATAAAAAAGTTACAAATAGATCAAAATTTGAATCTAGAGACTCTTGAAACAGTCGAAGATTTTCTATACTTGAAGAAAACGGTTTCTGTGACACGGATGCAGCTGACCCACATTTAATACGTAAAACTTGTTTTTAACCAGCAAAGAAACATTGAAGTATAAATCTATAATGTGTTGGTCCAAACAGCCTGCATCTGGATTAGTAAACAGAACTGTAAACAAACACCAAAACATGTTTGTTACATCTTGACTAAACAAAAAGCACCAGCGGACTTGTGAGGATGCACCAGTAACTTGTTATAAATCACTTGTTTGTGATCGACCTGTATGACAGCAGACTCACCTGAAAAACACTGATATTAAAAAGTTTATCTGTAATTAGTAACAACTATGATGAACACTGCTGCTTTACAGGAAAACACATTTTACTTTCAGAAGCAGACTAAAAACGCTTCCTGAGCGGTGAGGTAGCCCTGCTCGGTGTGCTAGGAGAACACGCGGGGATTAAAACGAATCAAGAAAACGAATTAAGCAAAGCCAACCATCTCAGAAAAACATTCAGCTTTTCATCTTCTATTAATGAATATCTAAATCTGATCCCATGTGTCTCACTTCCTGCCTCCTGTCTGCTGCTCCAGGGACGAGCCAAGCAGCTCTCATCTGCTGAACCATCTCTGAATGACTGGAGAGATTTCACAGCCCCGATGGCACCGCGGATTCGTACCGTCTCTCGTTAACGAGGACGAGAGGGTGTCGGAGGAGACAGGACGCTGGCCAGGTCCAGAGTGTGTGCAGGACAGAAAACAAGTGTGCATGGGGATGGGGTGAAGCGTGTGTAAATAATGAAAGCAAACAGCAACAGGCAGTATGCTTCAGAAGGAAGAGCAGAGTAAAGCTAAAGCTGAGACTCATTTTATTCTCACAGATTTTAGATTTAATCCCAAATTACTAAACCAAGCTCTGGGATGTCCCTTTAAGCGTGTGTGGAAGGGGGGAGACGAGAGGACTCTGTCTAAAATAACATCACCTGAAGGAGTGTTACTGTAGACTTTAGAACCATTATTATAACAAACTATAGGAATTTATTATTATTATTATTATTATTTATAACAAACTATAGGAATTTTTATTATTATTATTTATTATAACAAACTATAGGAATCTATTATTGTTATTATTTATTATAACAAACTATAGGAATTTATTATTATTATTATTATTAATATTTATAACAAACTACAGGAATTTTTATTATTATTATTCATTATAACAAACTATAGGGATTTATTATTATTATTATGTATTATAACAAACTACAGGAATTTATTATTATTATGTATTATAACAAACTATAGGAATTTATTATTATTATTGTAACAAACTATAGGAATTTATTATTATTATTATTATTATTATTATTTATAACAAACTGTAGGAATTTATTATTATTATTATTTATTATAACAAACTATATGAATTTATTATTATTATTATTAATATTATTATTTATAACAAACTATAGGAACTTATTATTATTATTATGTATTATAACAAACTATAGGAATTTATTATTATTATTATTTATAACAAACTATAGGAATTTATTATTATTATTATTATTATTATTTATAATTAACTATAGGAATTTATTATTATAACAAACTATAGGAATTTTTTATTATTATTATTATTATTATTATTATTATTATTATTTATAACAAACTGTAGGAATTTATTATTATTATTATTTATTATAACAAACTATAGGAATTTATTATTATTATTATTATTATTATTATTATTATTTATAACAAACTAGGAATTTATTATTATTATTATTTATTATAACAAACTATAGGAATTTATTATTATTATTATTTATAACAAACTGTATGAATTTATTAATATTATTATTTATTATAACAAACTGTATGAATTTATTATTATTATTATTTATTATAACAAACTATAGGAATTTATTATTATTATTATTATTTATAACAAACTGTAGGAATTTATTATTATTATTATTTATTATAACAAATTATAGGAATTTACATCCCTGTTGCTATTTGTACTGATTTTTTTTTCATTTTGTGTAAATAATCTGTTGTGACTAATCTTGCCTGTAAAGCCTCTCACGGACATTTCCCTCTCAGACGGGAAATCTCACGAGATCAAATGTGAATTCGAAGTCAAGAAACGTGGTGTAGCGGGACCATGCAGTGTGCTCTTGTCACCTTGCTTTCTGATTGGCTGGATATCACCGTTAACAGTCAGCACATCCATTTGTCTCAGAAAACCAGACCAAAGCAATCCAACATGTTTGAAAGCCCGGATTAATGATTGGAGCGGTCCCAAAGCCCTTCTGAGCAGGTCAGAGTGTTCATGACCAGTGATGGGAACAACGGCGTTTAAAATGATGGTGAAGTGAGTTTCCAGTAACGTGTAATCTAATTACATTCCTCTTTTGTCATAACGCTGCTTCTGTAACTGATAAGTAAATGCATGCGTTACTTTAACTCAGCAGCGAGGTGAGTTGAAGCTGTTTGCTGCTGTGGGCAACCAGTTATCTGATAAGATTCCCTTTAGAGATGTTACGGTTATTGTGTGCCTCTTTAAGATCGTAGGAAGGGGCGGGAATGGTCCAAAGTCTGCATGATTGTCCTGTCGTATCAACCCAGCTTAACACGACGAACCATCTGGTGAGCAAATAATACCACAGCGATGACGGGATCCCATCCACTAGTCTCAAGAAACGGAAACCCTTTGGTGAGCATCTGGTGTGCAGAAGGAACTGGGTTCATTCCCTCCCTGGTGCTCTGTGATGTGTTTGTTTTGAATCCACTAAAAAAACGGAGCGACTGATTTTGTTTCCACGTCCGACAGAACGGACATCTCAAAGGTCTGAACTGTTTCCAGCTGAATGCGGAGGTGTTAAAACCAAATAGCAGCAGACAGTCAGCTTGATGGTGAAGGGACGAGATGGAAATGTCTTTGACCACAAACAGATTGTGCTGAGCGTCAAAGTCCAGTAAGCAAATAAAACGATGGTCAGCAGAACCCAGAGGAGCCGAGTGGCGGTCCATCAGCGGTCCACTCAGCATCCTTCAGACGAGGTCAATACAGCTCCGAGTGGGTCAGACGGGCCAGCAGAAGGTGCAAACAGGATAAGCACCTGCTCTCACACACACACGCACACACACGCAGGCACACACACACACGCACACACACGCAGGCACACACACACACACACACACACGCACACACGCACGCACACACACACGCACACACACACACACACACACACAGCTGTTTTAGATGCTGCGTCTGAGTGCTTTAATTTAAATTGAAGCTCTTTCATGAGTCTCGTGTCTGCATCACAGTTCAAGGTGGCCACATCACAACACTGTAAATGAAAGTGTTTGCAGCTGCATGGAGACGAATCCGGTTTCATCATCAAAGCTGATCTCTTCTGGGTGTGTCGCGGTAGTGCTGAGGTCTTTGTGTCCACACAAAGCAAGCGTTAACAAAAAGCTTTAATCCTAATGATCTAATAAATAATTCATCTCACCTCCTTGTTTGTATTTTGTGTAAAAGATAATAACCATAAATAGTGGACTAAACAGCTTGGCTAAAGATGAAAGCTAAGGGTCATTTCACAAGAGATGGTTTTACTTTGAACTGATTCAGTAAGGAGCTACGTAGCTCCTCCCTCCTTGCTGTGCTGAAGCTCTGAAGCTTGTTGCTCTGGACCGCACCTGCTGAAGACATACAATAAGGAACATGTGCTCATTTTCTGTTGGATTTTGGTTGGTTAAACACTTTAGTTTAATATGTGGCCGGGTCACAAACTACACTCTCCTGATATTTTACTACGGCTGTTTTAGGAATCAGAACATTTGTAATAGAGAGTTTATTATACGCTGCTCAATAACTACATAATGAACACACACAGAAGCACAGTGGAGTCTTTCTCCTCAGGCCATTCCTGAAATACCGTACCTTCTACATGCTTTTCAGAAAATATTATTTCCATGTTTATTCTGGACTGTGGAGTTTAGTCTCGTCCTACTTGAATTGTCCGCTGTAGAAGAACGCACTCGTACTGTCACCATGACAGCATGCTGATGATGTGTTCCTGGTCCAGACCACCTCCTGGTTTAAACTCCCGTGTTTTCGTGCTGCTGTCGTACCAAAGAGCCCGACGGTAAGCAGTCCCAGCTAGCCCTAATTAAAGCCATTCTGTGTTTGCTGCGGCTCCCAGCGCTCCCTCTCAGGGTAGCGGTACCACGACAGTGCCCCGGAGGAGTCCTAACACGGCTGTGAGGCCGTCCTGCTGTCAGCCTCATGAGTGTGACGCTGCCTGCCGTAAACAGAACAGCGGGAAGGCATCTGCAGCTCCCTGATAAAGCTACCTGTGGTGTGTGTGTTACTTCATTTCTCTTTACAGGCTTTATATCCTCTAAGTTTGGTGTTGTGATTTTTCCTCGGGGGCCTTATAAAAAATAACAGATTCAGAGATTTAGCAGCATTAAAGTCTCACGGTTCCTTAAGGGAGTCCGTCTCTGCAGCCTCTGGTTCTTACAGGTGAGGAGGAATGGTGGAGTGACCGCTGCTTTGGTCAGATCTAACGTTAGGATCAGATTTGAGATGAATATGTGTGAAACTGGATTAGACATTTTAGTGTTTGAATCTAAAACTCCATCAGCTGTAGACGGACCTCCGGAGCGTTCTGTGTGAGCTTTATTAAAGTCACACATCACGCAGCACTTGGTTTTCTTTCCCAG